GGAAACAATACAGAAAATATAGGGAAAATACGAGAGAATGAAATAGGCTAATAAAAATCAATATAAGATAGTTATTAACAATAATAATAACAGAAATAAATAATCAAGTATTAATTTAACAATTTAATTTATAATAGTAAAATCATTAAAATAAATATAATCTGGATTTTTAAATTATAGAAAATTCTAGAAAATCAAGAAAATACAAATACTCTTTTGAAAAATAAAATTTAATATTTAAATACCATAAAAATTTATTTAATCAAATATTAAAAATTCATGGTCATTACAATCACTCACAATCTCTTTAGAAATATCTTACATGATAGTCATCTTCACTAGCATATCACAATCAACACCAAAAATCTCATGCACAATTAGGGTTTGCACCTTAGGAGGTATTTTGGTAGGGGTAGATTCTTTTTTTTTTGTTACAACCAAGGCATAGATCTCTTCAGATTACTTCAAGTCTTCTATGAAAGTTTCATTGTCTACAACCAAAAGTTTTTTCTTCTCACTAGTCACTATCTTGGTTGACTTCTTTTCTATAAGAGGCATGAGTACAATTCGACAACTTCTTGAAGGTATAAGTATTGTCCCTTGTCCTATGAGTGGAACTAACATCGAACTGCCATGGCCTACCTAAAAGTATATGATAAGTATCCATCTTAACTATATCACATAGTACCTCATCTATATAGTTGCGGGAGATGGAAAAAGGTACCCGACACACCTCAATGATCTCATATTATTCAACAATTCTTTCATCTTCGCCTATGACTTGATTTTTCGCTTCTGCTGATGGGCTTGATGCTTGTATAATGATTGCCACCAAAAAGTTGCTTCATCTTTGACCGAGCATAGTGTTTTCAGTCAACTGATATTTCTTATCAGTCGACCGATTCATGTCTGACTATTTTTTTATATATTATAATAGCTAGTTGATCAGTTGACATAAATCCAACCAGTCGACTGATCTGCTCATTTTGCTGTAATGACTAGTTTTTGACAGTTTTGTTTGAGAGGCTATAAATAACCCTCAAGACTTATTTTTCACTAAGAGTTTTACAAGATTATTTCACCAGCTTGTTTCTAAGTTTAAGGGTGTCTATTTGTGTGAAGAAAGTTTCACAAAGAGAATGATCATAATTTCAGTTTTGAGGCGTTCAACCTCAAATCTCTATATCTACATCTCTTTGTTTTTGAAGAAGTTTTCTAAACTCATTCTCTAGCTAATTTATATTTTGATTATCATTTATAAGCTAGATTTAATTGAGTTTGATTTCATTTTACTCATTATTTACACACACAACTACTTGAGCTTAAGTATTTCACATATTGTATGTTTAAGTTGTGATAGTGTTTCATTGAGAGAGCTTACAATTCATTCTCACTTGTTTAGAGAACAAAATATTTATTCACACTCATTGTGAAAATACATTGTAATATACAAGAATACTTGAAGGAGTAGTTGGAGAGAGACCGGGGTTAATTCTAAGAGGAGTGGGTTGGTAGTAAAGCCTAGGGAGAGGTTATAAATCCAAACACATGAGAAAGGTAACACGGGTAGTTGAATAGTTAGAGGAGTGTGGCTTGTGTGATTGACAATGTGTGAGTTGTAAAAGTTATCAATGATATTTGAAAATCGTTATTATGTAGATTATTTGTGATATAGTGGAGATCTCCTCAAGGTGAGAAGCGGAGACGTAGGTCGAGTGTTAGACCGTACTCCGTGATGATATCGTTTGTTTGCGATTGTTTTTTATGCACTATTTCTCTTTATATCTTGCACTCATTGTTTATATCGCCTATTGTTTCATTGTTTATCCTTGCATTTCTTTATTGTATATCATATTGCTAGGATATTGCATTATTAATTTTAATTTGATATCGATATCGGATTAGATTAGCAATTATTCTATTCACCCCCCCCCCCTTTTCCCCCCCCCCCCCTTCTAGGGTACTTTCAAGACATTCAAATTCCTCATGAAGTTAGATGCGAATCTAAAAGATGAATGAGGCTAGTGAAAGATAATAGCACAAGAAATTCACCTTCACCTTGATGTCATAACCGATGTAGATGATAAAGACAATACTTTATTGCCTAGGAAAAGATAAAGATGGAGAAGGATTGATCTTGGCTCAATCAAAAAATAAAACAAAAGGATTAGAAGACAACATTTTATGAATATTTTATAGAATAGCTTAATTTTTTTGAGTAAAATTAGGAAGTTTTAAAAGGGATTTTCATGAACCTTTTTAGTACTTTTATATGCCTTTTTGAATGATGTTTTCATATAAAATTATATTAGGGTTATCATTAATCATTAATATATGATTTTACGAAGTTTATCAATGTTAGGAATAAAATGCAGTTAATCCTTTTTTCAATGAACAATCAATCCAATGCTTTCCTTTTTCATCATTGTAACTTACTTATAGACCAATCATCTTAGCACATTGGCTTTAATTAGCATCTTTCTTTTATAATGCTATTTTTAAGTGTTTTTTTACTTTCGCGATACTCTCATTTCTTATGTCAAGCTCTCCTTGTTAAAATTTGATTATATCAACATATGAAGAACATATTATTATAATATTTCTTCAAATTTATTCCTACATTTAATGACTAAGATATGATTTCTACTTCCCCATAATGATAATGTAAGTTTGAGCACAAACCACTATATAGTCATGTGAAATATATGAACATTCACTTGCTACATCCCTTTTTACTTTTTAGCTTTGGTGTCACCATATGCTTAATTCTATTATATATAATTAGTAACTACGATTCAACTTTGGACCTCATGTCTCTTTCATATGTGTGGTGTGAAAACGCAATTCTATGATCATCACATTTACGAAACAAATTAGAAATTGATGATCCAATAAAAAGTCATGTGAAATATGTGACCATTTAGTTGCTACATCCCTTTTTACTTTTTAGCTTTAGCGTCACCATATGCTAAATGTTATTACACTATATATATAGTAAATACGCTTCAACTTTGGACCTCGTGTCTCTTTCATGTGTGGTGTGAAAACGCAATTCTATGATCATCACATTTACGAAACCAATTAGAAATTGATGATCTGTTAAAAAAATATGTTGCATAAAGTTAATAAATATACATATTGATAAAAATGATGTTGTATATGCAAGGATATAAAAGTATACTTTCAACAAAATAAAACCAATATAGTCTCACGAGTAAGAGAATCACACACATTTTCATGTGATCCGAGTTTAACGCACAAATCACTTTCATCAAACTTTTTAAAATATTTAAATTAAAATTATATTAGAAGCCATAATCAAGGTATAGAATTTCAACTCAAAATGAATCTAACTGAGTTAGAGTAAGGAAATCCGCCAAAATGCAAGTAATTATTATATTTAATCACGTGCATGGCACACGCGTAAAAATTAGTAAAGAAAAACTATCCGCTCAAATTTTCGCTTTGTTGTCTGGGCTTGGACTGACAAGCCATTTAAATGGGCTACGGATAAAACAGAAGGCGGAGACATGACCCAATGAAGGCCCAATATCTATTTCCATAGCGGCCCGTTATAGCGTCGCCTCTTTCTATAATATATAATATATAATACTAGAGTAAAAACCCTAATAAAAGAGTTCGTTCATTTATAAAGTTCCTTCTTTACCTTCCCTCGGGTGGTCAATCAAGTGCGCCGCTTCCCGTCACCGTTAGGTAAGGTTTTTCCTCCTCCCTTCCAAAATTAGGGTTAGGGTCACAATTTAGATCCTTTCGTCTGATTATTTGAAATTTAGACCATTTAGGGTTTCATTTCTTGGTGCGATCATAACAATGTCCATCTTGCTTTTTATATGGTAAATGAGAAATTATGAAAGGAAGAAGAAGAAGAAGAATAATGAAGCAATTATGAAAATCAAGATTGAGGCCATTTATTTAGATGATTGTAGCTTCTTGTCGAAGTTGTAGTTTGTAATCGGGAAAAGGGAATTCTGCGACTTTTTTCATTTTTGATTGGATCTGAGGGTTTTTGAGATTTGAATTGGGTGCCTTATTAATTTTTGTTGATGACTTACAACGAGCCTATTCTCAGTTCATGGGTTCCCCAAAGCAATTTTGCAATCTATTCCTTATTATAATTAACCACCACATTGGGTTAACCTCATTCTGTCTTTCATGTCCAGCACTTTTTTTTAAAGGACTGGCTTCATTGCTATTTCGAGGCTTTTATGAAACCCTTTTTCCTGCTTTATGTACTAACTTAGACTCGAAAAATCACTTGCTGCTTTTAGCAGACTATTTTGGATAGAGGACTACTGTTGTTACTTTGGCCAGAAATTTGAATACCACACAAATTTCATTCAATAAGTTGATTAAGGGATCAAATTGAAGCTATGCAAGAGGAGCATTAACTAAGTAAAAGATTTGGAGAATCATGGAGAGTAGTGAAATTTTTTGAAAAAATGGACGTGGCAATTTATAACCTTTGAAAAGTTGTTCTTTATTCAACTATTTCATCATTCAAAACAATGTTAGTTCGAGATGCATAAACAATTACACTAAACTTGTTGGATGGATGCATAGTGGATCTTTGATCAAGAAATTTGATCACGGAGAAGAAAATATTGAAATTTTGATATGGAGCTTAAGAGTAGAGAGTCGGTTAAAATAAAGTTAAAAGTAAACTTGAGGATTATTTCTCCAAGATGAATAGTGTATGTAGTACGACAATTTGGGAATATTTTTGATTGGTTTAGTAGGAAGTTCTAATTGGTTTAGGATTGATTTAATAAGAAGGTTTGGTTGGTTTGTGTTAGGTGACAAATATTATTGTAAGATCAAAACATTTATTAATTATTGTGTCCTCTTGTTGTTATTTTCCAATTTAAAATTTCTAATTTTTAAGGAGTCTTAGACTTGATTTAGAGCATGGTATGAGTCATCTGTTGCCAAATTTTAATTTCAATAAAAATTTTTATGGTTGTTTTTTCTTTCTCGTGGATTTGAGCTTCTATGAAGTTCCAGTTTTTTTCGTGGATTCTACTAGTTTTGTGGTTGAGGCTTCAATACTTGTTATTTTTTCATGTTTCTGACTACACTATACTCCAAAATAATGTTGAAAATAATAATAATGCATAGCGTAATGCTCTACATCCTATTAATGGTTAAAAAAAATACAAAAACGCATAATGTAGGTTATATTATTTATTAATCATTTTTATATTTTATATATACAAACTTTTCATACTGACGTTAACAATTGGAATCTTTTAAATTTTCGAACATAAAATCTCAGTTAGAAACAAATTTTTTATTATTTAATGAAAAATATAGATATGTTCATAATAATTTTAAGAATTAGGAATAAAATATCATAATGCAAATATATTTAAATTTTTTAATTTAATAAAAGCTATATAGATTTACTAGGAAATATCACAATACGTTCATAATTACATTTGTTTTATTAGTCATATTCATGTTACCAAAACAAGACATGGAGTCGTAACAAACATTTCAAAAGAAACTATTTAACTACTTCAAGATTTAAGAAAGTATATACTCAAGGCTAGAACTTATATTGAAATAGCGTAAGTTTCATTGAAATAAGGCATGTTATATTGAAATAACACATTTTATATTGTAATAATGTAGACTTATGATGTGTTCAAGTTATTTCATAAGGTTATGTAACATTTAAGGCATATTAGGTTACATAACGCAATGTACCGAGTTACGTAACATTTTTTTAACAATGCTTAAAAAACCACCTTGTATTTCTCATAGAAGATCATTGACCTCTACAATGTAAAGGTATAAAGATCAATGAACTCTCGTATTCTGGATTTAGATCCCATATCAATTTCCTACCATTTGATACTAATTTAATAAGGAAGTTTACTACTGGGAAACACTAGGCTTATAAGGCCTTTAGAATATCATTTACCAACATTAGGCAATTGTGCAAATGGTTACTAAGGACTAGACTTATAGGTTCTTGAGACAGTGCTTATAGTTTTTGTATAAATCATAATGTCCTATAACCAGTAAGGGAAATCAGACTTATTTCTCATGAAGTACTAAGATTTCAGATGTAGGCATCGAATTTAAACTATCCATTGGTAGTTTGTGAATAGTTAGGTTTGCTTGTTCCCATGCATTATGGACAAATAATCATTTTAATAGGTATTCGTCAAATTTCATGCTGATTGAGCTGCTCTACTATTGCTAGTATTCGACATGCTAATACTATAAATACAAATTTAACTTACTTCATATTGAAACTCTACACTGTTAGATGTGATTGAATACATGTAAACAAATTAGAAACAAGATTTTCAATTGTTTGATGTACTTTAATTATGTATCAAAGGGAAAAAATTGATCAATTTCACGGGAATTCATAGGATTCTTGCCTTTAAATTTAAAGTTTGACTCATTTATTTTTAAACCCACTTGCTTCTATCTACACCCACACACCCAGAAACTTTTCTTTTTATTTTTAAGCGCAAAACATTGAATATGTATTATTTGTATTGTATGTATTATTTACAAAAGAAAAATAAATAAAAGTAAAATAAAAATCTCAAATGCCATTGTCTTCTACTTCCTCTCTCTTTACCCATAACCCATTCTTCACCTACTTTTCTCTCGCTCCGCTCTTTTAGCTTCTTTGGTTGCCTCTTTCTACCCTCTATGCTACCCCTCCTTCTCCCTCTTCTCCACCGCCTCATCCCTCTCTTCCTGAACACCCAGCCTCCTCCATTTCATCATATCGACTTATATCATCATCTCCTCTCTCTCTTTCTAAAATAAAATTTCTTCTCTCATTCTCAAACAATAAAAATAAACAACCATCAACCCTTCCATCTCTCCCTATCATGTAACTACATATTGTACATGGTATAACAACTTGAACTGTAAGTATAGAAATTTAAACTATACGTATAACAACTTAAGCTATAAGTATATCAAGTTAAGCTATTAGTGTAGCAACTTAAGTTGTAAGTATAAAATGTATGCCAATGATAAGAAAGTAGAGGTGGAGGTTTGGAGACAAGCAGGGTGAGGAGCACCGTTATAAATAACGGTAAATAGCCCCGTAATAGCGGCGCTAATAGCGTTAGCGGTCCCTTCCCGCGACGCTATCGCCTGCTACGTTATCGCGCAATAGCGATGACATATTACGGAATATGTCTGTTCGCAAAAGCAGTCAATAGTGTGTCATAATGGTAAATAGTGAGCGATTGCATTCGAATTTTGCTTTTTGACTGCTATTTAAAAGCGGTTTGAGACTTATTTTTTTAAAATTAAACTCAACCCTTGATCATTGCATTTCACCGTCTCCTGTGATTTTCAGCATACTCCCGCCACCTCTCATAGTCTCTGGCACCTACCTTGATTCTTCCTCTCATCTCCTTCACCGTGAGCTCCTCTTATGACAATCCTGTCACGCTAAGCTCTTCTTCTTGAAGACGATAACTTTTGAACTCTTTCAGTCATCTTCGGTATTACGTGATGGTTACATATCTATTTCATGTTTATGATCTCTTTAAATCATCCAATATGTACTTTTAGATTTTTTAGATTTTTTTTAATTTTTTTAGTATTTATACATATCTAAATTAGACCGCTATTTGACTTTGCGTTTTTTATCGTTATTTTATCGCAATAGCCCGAAATAACCTTAGCGATGTCTTACCGCTATGCGACGCTATCCGTTATCGATAATATTGGTGAGGAGGTGGAGGAGAGAGAGAGAGAGGACGGGGTACTGGAGAGGATGGAGGGGGGCAACTGAGGAGGTGGATAGAGAGCAAGAAAAGGGAGAAGAATGGATTATGGGTAAAGAGATAAGAGGAAGAAGACAAGGGCATTTTAGGGTCTTTGATTTTTTTGTAAGTATTTTATAAAAGTAACTTATATTTGATGTTTTGAGCTTGAAGATAAAAAGTAAGTTTTTTGGGTGTATAGATGTAGATAAAAGTACATGAATTTAATTTTAAATGAGGGTAAAACTTTAGGTTTAAAGCCAAAAAACCCAAATATATAATGTTGATTGTGATATGTATACAACTATACATGTTTAAAACAAATTGATATTGTATGAGATTTTATTTTTAGATGGCTGATATTTAGTTTAACACATCTAATAGTACTGATTTTCATTGTGGAAATCCAAAATTTAGATTTGGATTGTAGTGTGTGCATATTGAATAGTAAGCAATGGTAATCTAGCTCCTCTCTCACTGTTTCTAAGCACTAAGGTTGTGGATAGCGGATAGTATTGCATAGTGGTGAAACACCGCTAAGACTATTTGGGGTTATAGTGGCAAAGTAGCGGCAAAAGGCACAAAGTTAAATAGTGGTCTAGCTTGCTCGAGATATTACATTGTGTTCGACACAAATGCTGCATCATCGAGACGATAGAGGGCTGACAAGGGCTGAAGCTTGAGGAGCTAATTTGGACAGCTGAAGCTTGCTGCGGTGAAGGGTTGATGTGGCGGTGGAGGGTTGAAGCTTGAGGGATGTTGAAGCTTCGTTGAGAGGTGAAGAGGAGAGGTGATCTGAGGGGAGGTGGCTGAAGGAGCTTCAACAACGGAGGTGTTGATGGAGATGAGGATTTGGGGCAGGAGGAGGTGAGAGATTCAATGAGAGTCCGAGACAGTGAAGAGAGGAGTGGAGGAGGTGGCGGAGATGGTGGATGGAGGAGGTGAAGCTCGTGGAGGGAAGCGACAAAGCTTGAGATGTTAGGATTAGAAGCGGAGAGCTAAAGGGAGGTCGAGATCGAGAGATTAGGGTTAGGGTAAGAAGAGGGTAGTGTTAGAGTTTTAGTTAAATGGGTCGGGTTAAGGTAGTGTTCGGATATGTGACGCCCCTGTTTTCACACATGGCTGCAGTCCAGGTGAACCTAGAGATGTCAAACCTGTCATGCACTCACACTGTGCAACAACACGTTTCACAATCACAGTAATATCTCTCTAGTGGAATCAAATACAAGTACATGTACAAAACAAGTAAAATAAGGTAAATAAATGCAATAGACATGATGTAGAAAGAGATATCAAATATATATAATCATGTCTCAAATGAATAAACTGAATACAACTAAAGTCTGAAATAAATGTGAAGTATCTCAATATGAGTCAACTAAAAATAAACTAAAGCACACAACCTTTACAAGATGAAATACAAAACACTAAATGTCTAGAGATAAATATCAATTACAGTGGAGTCTCATCTACTAAAAATATATAACGACGACTATGCTAAAAGTCCGTCATCCTGCGGCTTTTCGGAACTCTGAGCTGCTGTCTGAAAGGAAGATCATCTCCATCCGTCACAGGAGAAGGGCTACTAGATGTGATGAAGACTCTATCTATTAAGCATAGTCTACCTAGACCATTTACCTTTTATCTAAATGGAATTAATATTTAGAAACCTACAACACAAGATGTAATACGTCGAACGAAATAATCCAAACAAGAAAACCCTCATGTATATACCACATATCTCAAATTGTAGATAACTAAATATCAATACCGGACTAAGAATAAATAATCTAAATATAATTAATAATTAGAAACTCACAACACGAGACTGGTACGTCGAGCGAAATAATCCAAACAAAGAAATCCTCATGTCTATACTATATGTCTCAAATTGTGAATCACTAATCATCAATCCTAACTAAAAATAAAGGATAATAATACAAGAAAGTAAAATCATCACAATATCGGACCAAAAATATCTTCCATTATCCTTTGGAAGATAATGTAAACAACTGCATATAATCCCGCGTACTTACAAGAGTAAAGTACCTCGGTCATATATAACTCAACGACGAGTCATGTTTATAAATGACGTCTACTAAGACTCAGGTTATCAGATAATTATCATAATGTAAATCCTTATAAAGTTTATAATTCATTGCATTATAATGCGGGATGGACTACCAAATCGGCATCCTAAAAGTGTACACGGCTCATTAGTCTCATCGCATCAACGTGCGGGACGGACTACCAAATCAGACATCCTAGGTATACGGTTTACAAGCCTCATCGCATCTACGTGCGAGATGGACTACTAGATCAAGCATCCTAAAACTCGACTCAATGACATGTACTAATGGTATATTGACGCACTATCCCAAGTAGTACTGAGCGATGCTCATCAACGATATCCATACATGTATATAATGTTTAAATAACTCATATCTCCTGTGTAATTAAAACAATAACTGTATTAATCCTCTTTGAGATACTCATGTGTGTGCTACGACACTATACATGTATACTCATGATTGTACGTGTATCATCGTGCGCCTCGAACCCCGCGTTCGAAAACAAAAGGTGTAAAAACAACACTTCAAACAAAAGAGAACACATGTCGGTCGACCGCCCTTAGGCGTCGGTCGACTGAAAGCAACCGTGCACATAATGTGCAAGCTCAGGGCCTCACCGGTCGACCGACTAGTCTTGGTCGGTCGACCGGCCAGAGAGGAAAACACAAGTTCAGGTTTCTGATGTTTTGTATTTTGTAACTTTATTTAAAAACTTATTTTTATCAACATGAAGCATATAACAAGATTAAATCTTTCATAATTACTTAACAGGAATTAACTCATCATGATATAACCTCTTGAATTAAACTAATTAGGATTTAACATCCTAATTAATCAAAATTTCTCAAATAACCTAATTTATAAATATGGTTAAGTAAACATGGTAAATTCTAAACATTGAACAGAGATAAATTCGTTTAAACATGTTCACATCACTTAGGTATCATCAACCTAAGATTTAGACCTATTTAATTAGCAAGAAACTCAAATAATTATTAAACTAGGGTTTAAACACGATTTAAGCATGATTAACAAGTTAAAAATGAAATTATCTACAACCTAATGATCATAATCATCAAACTAATATAAACAGCAACTAAAACTACAGATTTTCACATTGGTTTAAAGATTAACATCATAAACTAAGATTTTAAAATATCGGGTTAATGTTAAACATGAGATTCATTAATTAAACATATTAAATTTTGAATTAACAACAAGGAAAGATTTGGAGAAAGATGATCTTGCCTCAAACGTCGTGTTGAACTCTTGACACGTGCGTGCAAGATCCCTCTTCACCAAAGTCGCAAAATCCCGCATTCCTCTCAACAAACGCCTCAAGAACTCTTCAAAATCTCACAAATTATGATTAGGGTTTGAGAGAGAGGAAGAGGGGCTGCTAGGGTTTAGAATACTGATGAAAAGATAGTGTTTTTTGTGTGTAAACATATATATATATAACTACAAACCCGAATCAAAACAGCCCAAACCCGAAACAAGAAACCCAGTCAGACTGTCTTTGGTATTTTGGCTGTAACTTTCACGTCCGACCTTGGAATGAGGTGATTTAAGATGCGTTGGAAAGCTATTGAAGATACTTACAACTTTTGTCTTTTGAGTTTTTCTAAGTTCGAACTGTATCAATATGTAAAACATATATACTCTTAACTGGTCGTTTTTCTAGATTTTTTCTTTGTGCATGATTAACCTTTGTATACTCTCATATATACTCTTAATTGATCTCAAATTAATTGTTAGCATAATCATTCATCCATAAATGATATTCATCATAATCAGAGCTCATTATCAATATAATTCACACTACTTTCCAAAATTCTCGTGGTTTTACAGGGTCGGGTTTTATTAAAAACCCAAATTTGAGCAAAAAGTGGTTTCGCCATAATTCATGACCGCTAATGGTCAACTTGTTGCGGGAAGGTGTTGCAAACGCAATTGCGGCCGTAGTTGCAATGCATTGTGCCACTATTTAAAACCTTGCTAATCACCTACAGTACTAAAAGAATTTTCCCAAACCAAAAGTGGAGAATAATGTAAAAGTTACTTCCTTTCATAAATAATGCTTTCTTTAATTTCTATTTCCCAAACAAAAAACATGTTATAAGATTTCTAATTTATATAGTTTCTAATCAAGTAGGTAAGAGTCACAAATTTCTTTATTGCGTCCAAATTCTAATAGTCCAACACTCCCTGAGACATGTCATATCTTGTTTGTAATCTAGATCTTTAGATTACTTTCACTAGTGACAACGAACAATTTCATGTTCTCTATTGCATTTCTTTATTCTTACATGCTGTAGCTTGAGCATTATACTGTTCTATCTGCATGAAAATTTGTCCATGATTTTGTAGAGTTCAAATACCCTATATGCATGAACTGGATAAACTTTTTTTTGTCTTGGTCTATTCGGGGTACAACGAAGTTCTATGCTTTTTCATGTTAAATGACTACCTTAAAAAGGAGTTTGCAAGTACTCAGTATAAAATAAGTCTTAACGTTTTAATTAGGTAAATCTTCCTTTTTAGTTGAAATTGACTAGCTACTTCTCATACTTTGTTTGATTATAACCTAGTAAGCATTAATGCATGACCTTTATACTTCATTCTAGATTTGTCTGTTCTAATACTTACTGTGTATATCTAACACTGTTCTGAAAATAATTATTCTGTTTAACTTTTATCATTCTGTGCAGGAAATTGATTATTTAGGTGTAGGACATCATTAAGACATTAAGTTAAATCTTTGAACTTGTTCAAACAAGATACACATGGCTGGATTAATTGCTGGAGGTTCCTCAAATCATTTAGTTGCGAAAAGTGGACCATACAATGATTCTCAAATTAAGATGGATGAACCTGATAATCTTGGATCTGGATGGTATTTCTGTCGGAAGGAGATAGAAGAAAATTCTCCATCTAGGAGAGATGGTATTGATCTAAAGAAAGAGGCATACCTCCGAAAATCATATTGCACATTTCTGCAAGATCTGGGAATGCGACTGAAAGTGTAAGCTTCATTTTCTTTCTTACTCATTTAAAATCAGAATACAACCTTCCCAAATTCATAATCTTTTTATTGCTGATTGGTTTCTTGGTTGTTTGTTGTCTCATCACATAGTTTATTCTGTTCTTTTGGTGATATGTGGTAGTCATTGAACAATCTCATAGTGGTGTCTTGCATATCAACTGCTGATGGATCTTTTTATTAGTTGATATTCATTTTAATAATCATGGCATCTCTTTCATCACTGGTGCCCGCTTTTCTTGCTTGACTTTGACTTGGTACTAGCTAGCAAGGACAGAATAGAAAGATACGAGATAATAGGATAAATCAGTGCAACCATCTTCAAAGAATATCAGTAGACATATGTTAGCTGGTACGTGCATTTACATAATAGAATTGTGTAGTTGTGACTTACATAGCAACTGCTGGATTTACCTTTTCTTATTAGTTTCATGTTCGTTTAGTATTTCACAGTGTGCCATTTGACATCAGTGCCAATGTTTCATTGATTATGTTTGACTTGATGCTAGTTATCATGGACACATTACAAAGATAAGACAGATTTGATAGCAATGCAACCATCTTAAAAAAAAACAACAAAAAACTTAGGAGACATATGTCTGTGTTGGTACATGTATACACACACATCCGCACTCACCCACAAACACGTCCACAAACTGGTTTTTAGCATGCGACATGCTTGTTCAGGATGTGCAAGGCTTTGAATCATAAGCTGTTGGAATATTTGTGCAATCTTAATCCTTATATTTAAATGAAGAATGGAAACTATAATATGTCGTCCTTGTCTATTTTAGCAATTAATCATCCACTAACATGTGTCAATGCGGTGAATCTTCTTTACCCCACTTCCTTGAGGTTAAATCTGTGGCGAAACTCCTCCCCTCCCTCCTCCACAAAGGTTAAATCTGTGGACGAGATAACAAGAACCTGCCATTTTATCCTCGGGAATAATCGAAGATGACAGGAAGATTATTATTTTTTATACCTAGTGCCACACCATATGTTGGTTTTGTATTCCGCTGTCTGGGACTAATTGATTTTTTGCTGGCCTAATTGGTTATTCAAGTGATAATGTGCTTACTGTAATTATGAGCTACCAACGAGGAATTTGCTTCTGACTCAATTCTGGATATAATATGCATATATGTAACAAGACTTCACCTCACGATCAGCATGTCTTATTTCATATCTGTTGCAGATTTGCAGGCCACAAGTTATCATCAAGATAATTTACATAATAAAAAATATTTCCTCCAAAATTGTTAAATAAAGGAGCTTACTACATGGATGAAGTCTAAAATACTAGTACGTTCTAGAAGAGAGAGGAGGCACTAGTTTTTACAGAGAATTGATCTCTTCTGTTGGTTGATTTATAAACTTAAACATAATTTTGCGAACCAGTAATTAAGAAAAGGTGATCTTTCTGCTTAATCATATAAATTATTGAAAGTTCGTCTTTGACTCTGTCACCTGAGAGAGCAAGTTCCCTTAGCCCCTAAGGTCCATTATCTGAATTACATGTTCCAAATTGTGGGGAAAAAAACAACAACTTGGAACAGTGGCATCAACATTCCAGGTCTGTGGCAACTCTTTCAAATGTTGTGCATGTCACTCCAAGTCCTATTAACTATTTAGCTTTATGAAATAATAAATTAAGGGTTCATGTTTTGGACAACTCTATAGCCATTCAATCTAGCGACAATTTATGAAGAGCAAGATGAAAAGACAAAAACCTGATTAAAAGAGGCAAAGCGTATGATCCTTCAATCTACTGACTATCAAGGAAGAGCAAGATCGAAAGACAATCCTAGTGAAAAGAGAAGCAATATAAGAGATTAAACAGGTAGAGTGAAAGTTATTTGAAAAATAAAAAATATTCAGATTAATTGGGAAGAAGATGGCAGACTGCAAAGTTTGTTAGCGAGGTGATATCATCCCATAGGTAAGTAGTAATATACTCTTGTATTTGATCCTTTGGTTCTTGTTTTCTCATTCGAGAAAATGTATTTTGTTCCTACTAATCAATCCAAGAAGCCTATCCCAAATGTATCACCATCCGAGATAATTTAATTTCTAAGCATAGGTTTTTGTTTTACATACCAAATTGTTTCACTTATCAGGTGGCGATTTCTCTGACCCTTTGCAGTTTGATAAACGCTAAATACAAAGTATCATCATCCTTGATATAATGTTTCTCTTCCTGAGAAAATACATTCCTTTAACTTGTGAATAAGAACTACAACAACAAATAAACTTATGCTTTTGGTATTTGGCACTTGTTTGTTTGGGTACTGATCTTTTACTGACCTTTTACTGCAGTCCTTCGCGGATTTAGTTATCCTATTTTCAACTAGGCACAATAACCTTTGTATCATACTGGTGTGGAATAAATGCCCCAGGGTTTTTGTCATAAGGTTCCACTTGCTCATAATATATGGTTCCAACCCAACCCTTGAGTATACTTGTAAAATTTGAAGAAACAATTAGGATGTGGTGTAGAGCTTTTTGAATAAGCTTTCTGGATCCGGGTTGATCGCCGCGCAACTCCTCACAGATTAAAAGTTATCCTATTTTTAACTGAGCACAATATCATTTATATCACATGGGTGTGGAATAGTTGCCTCAGGGTTTTTGTCTTAAGGTTTTACTTTCTCGTAATATATGGTTTCAACCCAATCCTTGGGTATACAGTAGTATGTCATAAAATGTTCCATCAGATATTCTCTTGCTGTATCTGGAAATTTTAAAAAAGTAAATGTCCTGTCCAAGCCTACTAGAAGTCCACTCCAAAAAATATCTTTCTATATAGCTGATTTTCGGGAGTATCATTCAGTCCAGTACGTGTCTCATGCCATGTACTAAGTAATCGTCCTGTCTGATCATTTGTTGATTGTGCATTTCACATCTATGATGATCAATTTCATGTAGCATATATAAGAATCAGTCTCTTCCTAATACATTGAAATATGAGCATAATGATCAATCCATCAGTCTTCCAAGTGATGCCATTTGCACGAGCTAGATATTTTCATTTAGCTATGTCTATTTCATGCTTTATATTTATTTACATTGTCTATACATCTCTTCTAACTCATCTTCTTATGGTTTCATGATCACATCTTCTTTCACAATAAGTATCATTTTTAAGAAGTGCATGATTGGATATTCCATTGCCTCCTGTTATTATATCCTGCACAATTGGAAGTGATGAATTCTTGTTGCAGACCTCAGGTGACAATAGCTTCTGCTATTCTATTCTGTCACCGCTTCTTCCTTCGGCAATCCCATGCCAAGAATGATAGGAGGGTGAGAATTTTTCTTTTGTAATTATTCTTGTTAAGTTCATGACATGCTGCATTGGTGCTTGAGAAAGAAACCTGCTCCCTTTAATTATGTCCAACAAGTCTTTTAAGAGAAAAGGTTGACTTTGAAGCTCTCTTTCTGTAAAAGCATACATGCTATTCCTGTGTTCTATGATGCATGACTAATTGATAATGGTTTTTATGTTTATGTTAGGGGGCATTGGCATATTCTTTCCCTTGCTTGCAGTGTTAGAGTCAGTCTATTATCATCACCTCAAGTATTCCTTTGCAAGGTGACAGGCACACTTTAGGCACGGTTAACATGTGCCCCATAGGGGAGATTGCACTGACACGTAGCATCGTGGTTCCTGTTCCTCTAACATACTTTATGGAGGAGGACTTCTCTTGTTATGTTGGTTATGGCATGACTTAAACTTGTATCCTCCTTATCCTCCTTGTTATTAGTCACATGCCTTACCGCTCTCCTTAAGCTATATCAAATATGTATATTTAACGTTTGTAGCATTTCTATTAGACTGTTACTTGTACGTGCGAAAGAACTATAAAAGTAAGATGATGATCAAGTTTCTCACATCAAATGCGCGCGTGCACGCACATATTTGAGGTGAACATACATGTATCTGTAAGTATGAATTAGCGTACTGTGACATTTGGAGAGACGTGAATCTATTTAGTGTAGTGTAAGTATGAATTAGTGTAGTGTGGCATTTGGAGAGACGTAAATCTATTTAGTATGTATTTGTGTCGGTTTATACATGAGAGAGGCATGAATAGGTGATGTTTTTGTATGTCTGTGTGCATACTTCTGTGAACATGTGAGCGTGTGTTTTCTGTGTGTTATTGTTTTTTTTGGTTGGGGGGGGGGGGTTTGGGGGGGGGGTTTGGATTATGCATTAGACCCATTGAGGTAGTTGGATTGGGCTGGGTAAGGGTAGCTTAACAAATAGTCAACAAATATTATGGTATTGTTGGTCTTAGCTAATTAGTAGTACTTTGATTACGTAATGATAAAGGGAGATGAAGGAATCATTGATCTATCTATCTTCTTTTAATTTCACTATTTGGCAAGGGTAGCTTGTCAAATAGTCAACAAAGTCTTCATCCCAAAGTTTTGGGGGGCAACTACATGAATCATATTCTTCCATTTAATTTTGTAGAGGCTCTCTTCCATTTAGGGCATATGCGGTTGCAATTAAAACCCTGGAAATAGGATTTCCAGCTCTGATACACTGAAAACAAAAATAGAAAAGGACAATGAGTTTTTTTTCTCTAGTTTGTTTCGCCCAAGCATTTATTGAAAGGGGAGGAGAAATGGGCCCCCACATCACGAAGTGAGGAAGCCCCATTTCGGAGCTAAATGGTTGGCAATGGAGTGGAAACTTTATTTTTGGCAATAAAATAACACCGTATTAATTGGGGCTTTCTTACGGGTGGAAAAATGTAGTGATTTTGACTTTTTTCCATATTAGTTCCCCTATTTTGATATCAGCCTCAAAAAATTCAAAATATTAGTCCCTCATATCTTTTAAGTATTTTGAAATTAGTCTCCTAAATCTCTCTTAAATGTTTTGAAATTAGTCTCCAAATCTCATAATTTTTTTTGAAATCAGTCCCCCAAATTGTTAAATGCTCTAGAGGTATACTTACCCCTATATTAAAGAGCCAAACACTTTGTCTTATATGGAGGGTAAACTCACCATGGTAGGCTAATTCGTTTGTTCTCATGTTGGTTTTTTTTCATCTAAACATTTTCCATCTAAAAGTAGAAAAGGAAGAAACTTGTATTTCCTATATTTAGTTTACTACTTTTTATGTTGTTTAACAAATAGTACATTCAATTGGAAACTCATTTCGACCCTTCTTTTATGGGCGAACCAATCATGGGTCAATCATTTCTAGGAAACCCAAGAAACTCACAAAAATGGGGTTTTCGGTTGAAAATTTATTGCCCACAATTGTGGGAAACCAACCAACAGGCCCTTAGTCATTATTATATCCTTGATAACGACTTCCAATTGAGTTCACTTAGGCCTACCTTTAGACTTTCTTTCTCCATAATTATGATCTTATCATTCTCATAATTGCTGCTCTTAATAGCCTTGGTAACACATGACCAAACTTTCAAATGATTCTCTATTTTTTTCTCAATAAGAGCAACCACTAACTTCCAACAAACACACTCATGTCTTATCCCATTTTTAGTGTATATTTACCATTAGCGGTGCAAAAAATAGCCGTATCTGTGAATATATCTGTATTTGTTAGGATACGGATATGGTTAGGGACGGATTTATATTCTAGCCTTGGTGCAAATTTACCCAATAATATTTAATAATTACGTTATAAAGTCTTATCAAATTTCAATATGTCCCTTATTTTATTTAAATTGCACCACAACGGCCCAATATTTGCTTATATAACTAATAAGTAGTATCCCATTTGAGTCCATTTGTATTAAATAGCCCATTCCATTTGAGTTTAGCCATAATTATATGATCAATAATTATATTTTTATTTTTAAGTAAATAAGTACTTGTCGTTCGTCCCTCTAAGAAAGATTTTCTGGATCCATTGCTAAATATGATTATGGATACAAATATGTAGTGAAATATCTGTATTCGTATTCAAAATATCCGAATACGTACTAACCCTACATTTGCAATTGTTTTAATCCTTACATTAATGGATTTGAGATTAATTTTGATTATCAAGAGATCTAATCTTCGCGTTTCAGATACAATGAACATGTTAATGAACTATCTTGTATCATATGAACTATATATATATTTTTTCAACATCCGGTTTTCTCATATTTGTTTTGTATCCGAATATATATATATATATATTATATATATATATATATAATATATATATGTTGAGCTAGGGTACTGTTAATAATGATCGCAACATGTGAATACTATTGACCCAAAATTGAAAATTGAAAACCCAAACTTGAAAATCGAAATTGACCTCATAGAAATAAAAATTATAAAGGAGTTGAATGTGTTTTAAAAATATATCAAGGGTTGAAAAATTAAGCAGCTTTATGAAAAGTTATTAAACTTTGATTTTGACAACATATTATAACATGTGTTAATGACGTTGTAGTCTTTTGAAATTTTATTTCTAGAAGTTCATATGTACTAGGTCACCGTCCACCTGTTTTGGATTTCATTTTTTGGGTTCCAAATTTAAAAATCGAGTTGAATAGTATCCATTTATTTGATATTATTAATAGTAATAGCCTAGCTCAACTCTCTCTCTCTCTCTTCTCTATATATATATATATATATATATATATATATATATATTATATATTATTATTATATTAGTATATATATATATATATATATATATATGAGAAATATGGGTATGCTTGGTACCAAGCATAAATTTGTGCTTGTTAGTGTATGCGTCACATCCCCATCTACTCACTACCCATATGAATTTGTTCCCACATTTGAATGAGTGGAGGGGGGATTTGATACCTCACTACCAAATAACTTTTTGTGCTGGTACCAAGCATACCCATATTTCTCTCTCTCTCTCTCTATTATAATATATATATATTATATATATATATATATATATATATATATATATATATATGAAAATAATGAGTTTGATGTGTGGCCGTTCATTTTGCTAAATGAACACTAGAGATAGTCATTTGCAACTGCTTGTAAATAGTGGTCCTATCGTGACGCAAATAGCAATTAGCGTAGCCTACTGCTACGATTTCATTGATTACGGTGAACAATAGCGCTCATGAGCTTTTTTGCTCTCAAAAGTGCTCAATAGCGATAGATAGCAGTAAGTAGCGATAGATAGCGATATGTAGTGGTAAATATTGCTTATTTTGTCTATACTTGAAAACTACATTTTTCTGTCAAGAATCAATTAGTTAATATAATTATATTGCTACTAATCTATGTTTTTCTATTGTTGAGAATTTTTCTATTAGAGACTTGGAAAGTTGAAAGAATGTGACAAAATAATAGTCGTTTTGAATAAATATGTATGTACAATACTTTTGTTAATATTATGTGATTGTTACATGTCTATTTCATGCTTAGGATCTCCATAAATCATTAAATATGCATTTGTTGAATTTTTAGTTTTTTCTTTATTTTTTTTGAATATTTATACATATTTAAATTGGATCACTATTTGACTTTACGCTTTTGCCGCTATAGCGCCAAATAGCTTTAGCGGTGCCCCACCTACGCGATACTATCCACTATCGGTAACCTTGGGCATGTGGTGATGCCAACTTTGCTAGTCACATCAAAATGTGCAGATTTCACCACTCTTTTTTGATAGCTCATTTAGCAAAATGAGCCATCTCCAGTGTGTGTGAAAGTTAGAATAAACTTAAATATATAAAAGCTAGAATAAACTTAAATATAGAAAAGCTAGAATAAACTTAAGTGAATAGAAATTCTTGCTTACCAACGTTTTTAACCGTTGATTTTTCTTTGGGATTCGTGCTAGACATGAAGAGTATCTTTGAGATATGCGCATTGATTTGTATCACATGATAGCACAAGTTGAAGAATACTTTTTCCCACTCAAAAAATCCTAATTTCTTCAGTTCACATTCATCATCCAGCAATGAGGAGCACTGATCTTATCTGATCTATTATTAATTATTATTTTCATAAGATAGTTAACATTAATCAGTTTTCCTTACTGACTCCTATTTTCATGGCCAATAACTAGATTACCCAGAAATTGCATTTTGGATGCCGTATCCATGTCGGACACCAATTCATTGCAGACACGCCATAGACACATGTGGTTCAAAGAAAAACCGATTTCCGCATTAGCCTAAACTAGTTTCTCTTTCGGGCTCAGAACCAATATGTTCTTGAAATTGAAAACCGAAACCCATTACTTTTAAAGATTTGAAAATACCCATCATATCCTATGTGATCAAAACTAAACTTTTGTTTACTTTAACTTGATTATTCATTGTTACAGATAATAAAAAATAAACATACTAATGTTATAGGCATATTAATTCAGTAATTGATCTAGTACGTATGCGTGTATCCCACCTTTTACAAATTTTCAATGTTTCCATGCCACCTCCTTGCCTTCGCTTTTTATTTTCGTTTGACCTTTGCTTTAAGCTGGAAACAGGTGATTCAAATTTATGTTTCATTTGGAGCTCAACTGTTATGTAGTCTCTATCATTTCATCAGTTCAGTGTTGGGTTAGGATCTGTTCTGGTAGTCTTGTAAACCAGGAAAAGGGACCCTTGTTCTTAACTGAACCTTTTGTTTTGCTGAATATCATGCTTTCCTTACTGCAGACAATTGCAACAGTATGCATGTTTCTAGCTGGAAAGGTTGAAGAAACTCCTCGCCCGCTTAAGGACGTCATAATTGTGTCCTATGAGATTATGCATAAGAAGGATCCTTCTGCTGTCCAGAAAATAAAGCAGAAGGTAAACCCTGTTTTCCTTGCTTGACAAATTGGGGCGACAACGAAATGACAAGGGTTGTTATACTTGCTGTCTGGTTTGTCCTTGTTTGCTGACCTTTGCCATTGATTTTGAAGTAACCGCCACTATTTTGGTTGTATTTTTTTTTTCAAAATCTAAAATTCAAATTCTTTTAATAGGAGGTGTATGAACAACAAAAAGAACTGATTATACTTGGAGAAAAGGTGGTTCTTACAACACTCGGGTTTGATCTCAATGTCAACCATCCATACAAGCCCCTTGTTGAAGCAATAAAGAAGTTCAAGGTCGCACAAAATGCTCTTGCTCAAGTTGCGTGGAATTTTGTGAATGATGGGTATGCTGAATCTTCTATTTTTCGTCTCACTTGTCTAGTAATTAATTTAGTATTAGGTTATTCCTACTGTCTCCTTTCTTGTCTCTCTTGCTGAAGACATTTTTGCTTGGTTATGTGTAGGCTTCGGACTTCACTTTGTCTCCAGTTTAAGCCTCACCATATAGCAGCTGGTGCAATCTTTCTTGCCGCAAAATTTCTCAAAGTGAAGCTTCCATCTGATGGTGACAAGGTCTGGTGGCAAGAATTTGATGTCACCCCAAGACAGTTGGAAGGTCCAAATTCTTAGTCTAATCCTTTAAAGAGTCAAACATCGTAGGGTTGCTGGGGATCTAAATTTGTGTGCTTACATTTGTGCAGATGTTAGCAATCAAATGCTGGAACTTTATGAACAAAATCGAGCAGTACAATCTTCACATACTGAGGTTGAAGGAAGCACTGGAGGTGGAGTTAATCTGCCTGCAAAGAGCACATCAATTGTAAGTGAGAATTCAGCGATTAATGTCAACAATGAAGCCTATGTTGCCCCGATTACCAGGGTGGTGCCAGCTCAGTTAAATGCTAATAGTAACAGAGGAAAAAATGAGGACAGTGGAAGTGCAGATACAAGAAGTGGAGTTTGGGACCATAATGTGGATGGTCAAGGCAATAATAAGTCTCATCAGAATAGTGATGATATCCCAAAGATTGACAAGGACAAACTGAAAGCTGCCTTGGAGAAACGAAGAAAGTCACAGAATGATGTGTCCAATAGGAGTGACATAATTGATGAAGATGATTTCATTGAAAGGGAGCTTGAGAACGGTATTCAAATGGCAATGGAGGGTGAGAAGACAAAGGGTGGGGAGGGAAATGACTGGCCTGAACCTCTAAGCAGCCAACACCAAGCTTCATATGGGAAAAGGAATTCCGAATCCTTTGGTCACAGGTATGAGGAGCATATGGAAGAGGGCGAGTTGTCATCACTTGAAGAGCGTGAGCTTCCATCTCCAAAGTTGCAGAAAAATAAAGGGATTGGTTTTTCGGATTCAGAAAGAGATCATAAAAAGCCTAGATGTGATATCGGTCGTTAATCATATGCCGCCTTTGCTTGAAGTGGTTATATGATAATCACAAATGAGTCATGCTTTCTTGTGTGTTCAATGAGGGTGTTACTTGGGAAATGTGGCTATTGCCTTGTCCTCCATTTGGCTCTTTTAAGTCCTTGTCCTCCATTTGGCTCTTTTAAGTGTTTGTTGGTGAAATGAAAGTTACCCAATAATTTTGGCTTGCAGCAAATACCGGGGACCGAATTAAGTCAAATTATGCCGGATGGTGGTCTTTGAAATTGGAGATTCGTCCTCTTCTTCTTATTTATTGGTGTTGGCATCCTATACTAATTTTGGTGACTGCTATAACTATCTCATGCAAGAATATGTTTTTCCTATGTTACAGTCTTGGGTGGTAGTTATATTGCAGCAAAGTATCTTTCGGCATTCTGGTGGGGTTATCTGAAATGATTTAGGATATTGTTCTGTATGGTTAAATATCACCTTGAACATACATTTTCTGAATGTGTTACAGATGGGTGTTATTACCAGTTGCTTTTGTTTTTAGGACAGAAGTCTATCAGGGTCTGTATTTTACTCGTTTGCTGTAGAATTTTTGGACAGCAGAAAGTGGCCCTATGGTGTACGTTGATGCTGCACAAGCTTTTTATAACCTTCACGGGTGGAAAAAAAATAATTTCTTCATTCTCTGATGTCATTTAGGAGAAAAGGCTAAATGGTACTTAAATGGCATAAAATTTCACCTTTAGCACCAAGTGCCATAAGTTGTTCCTATTGGCAATTAACCATCTTAAGTTACTTGGTGTTGAAATTATACTAGCGATGTTAGCTTTTGACATAAGGGCCAAAAAAAAAAAAAAAAAAAATCTAATTAATGCACCTCTTAACACTTAAAAATGGGGTTTTTCATAGACAACCTTTGAATAGGGTTTTATTTTGCATAAACTATCTTGATTTTTAATTTATGCATAAATTATCTTTTTTTTGTGGTGCTATCAACTGCCTAGGTCCACTTTTCAGTTAATTTTTTTTGATAATTGACATCACCAAATCTCAAATAACAATCGTCTCTCTAATATATTTGGTATTTGACAACTAATTATTATAGCAAAATTGAAAAAACTTGAAGTAGGCGCAGATGGTTTATGTGTTTGACAACTAATTATTTTTTTTTTGGTAAATGAACTAAATTTTATTCATTTTCCAAATGTAACATTGTATAGAACATCAAGATACCAGAATATCTGGTAATAAAAAAGAAAAGAAATTTACATTTTCTCAAGTATTTCTCTTATATGAACATGTGAGCTTTCATTCAAAACCTTTGTATAAACTGAAAACTTGATGGCATGAACACTCTGGTAAGCATCCCTCTTCTTGCCTTGAAATATCCGAAGATTTCTCTCCTGCCAGATTGTATAAACTGCCATCGACAAAACCATCCTCTTTAATTTCTTCATGGACCTCTACGTCTTAGGTTGCAAGAATACCAGTTTAGGAGCTGGTTCCAATTACAAGATTTCTATTTAAATCTCAACCATTCCATTATCTTATTCCATACTTCAGCCGAAAACTGACACTCAAAAAATATATGATTTTTTTGTTTCCATTTGATGCCATTGACATAGCACACATTTGCTCTGAATTGTGCATAACATCCCCATTCGGCATAGTCTATCCATAGTGAGGAGCCTTGAATGACAAGTTACATAGAGTGAAAGAGTGCTTTAGATATAAAAACCCATCCCAAACTGTATCATGCCAATCTACCAACGGAGCTGGTTGAATTAAGAACCTGTACATAGCAGAAAGAAGAACTTTGCTATTAGAACAACACCCATTTATAGCATTCTTCACACCTTCAACACTTCCAAACTTGTTAACCAATATATCCCTCACTTTAAGAAGTTTTTTCCACATCCATGAATCATTCACTCTTGGTTGAACAAACCATATATTTTAATTTTGTAAGTAGTTTCCATGTATCCATTTGATCCACAACAGATCTTTCTTGAGGTGCACCATCCATAGAAGCTTTGCAGCTACAACATAATTCCATTCCTTGGCTGCAAAAATTCCTAGCCCACCTGTTTCTTCCCCTGGCAGACGGTTTCCCAGGAAATCAAGTGAAATTTTTGACTCCAAAGGAATCCAGAACATAAGCTATCTATTTTCTCCAAAACTCTCACCGACAGGATGTAGTTGCTCATCCAAAAAGTCTGAATACCCAGGATGGCCGATTTGATCATCACAAGTTTTCCAGCATATGACAATTTCCTTTTCTTTTGCCAAAATTGGAATTGATCTTGAATTTTACCAATAAGGGAAGAACAGTCAATATATGAACATCTTTTTGTATTCAAAGGCAATCCAAGGTATTTCATTGGAAGTACTCCCTCTTGGAATCCCCGATAATCACAAATATGATATTTGAGGCTATCTTTAATACCACTTAAATAGATAGAGCATTTACTAGGATTAGCTTCTAATCCTAAAGCTTGACTGAACTCTTGAAAACATGCAGTAATTTTTTAATTGAGCTCATGTCAGCTCTGCTAAACAGTAACAAGTCATCTGCAAACACCAAGTTAGTTATCTTCAATTTTCAGGCATTTTGGGTGGAATTTGACATTCCTATCAGGTTTTAGAGAGCTTAACTTCCTTGATAAGTATTCCATCCCAATTATAAAAAGATAGGGGGATAGAGGATCCCATTGCCCTAGTCCTCTTGCACCATGAAAATAGCCATGTAATCCACCATTGAGTAAATAATGAGCATTTTGGAGTTGAAATACACTTCATGATCCAGTCAATCACAGTGTTAGAAAAACCCAACCCAACCAACATAGCTCTTATGAATTCCTAGCTAATAGTGTCAAAAGCTTTCCTTAAATCAACATTTAGAATAGCTCTAGGGGAGTTATGCTTCCTACCATAGTGCTTTATGAGCTCATGTGCTAACAAAAAATTACTGGAGATAAGCATTCCCTTAACAAAAGCACTTTGTGATTCATTGACAAGATAACCAATTACTTTTTGTATCCTGCTAGCAATAATTTTGGAGATGATTTTGTATATGACATTGCAGCAAGATATAGGTCTATAATTAGCTACAGTATTTGGATTAAGGATTTTTGGCACCAAAGTGATGGATGTAGCGTTGAAAGTGCCCAAGAGCTTACCGGAGGTAAAGAATTCTTCAATAGCCAGAAAAAGATCCTCATTGATGACATTCCATGCAGATTTAAAGAAAGAAACATTAAACCTATCAGGCCAAGGAGCTTTGTTATCAGACATTGTAAATAGAGTTTGTTTTATCTAATCTCTAGAGATAGGAGAACTTAGTTCAGCACAATGTGTAGAGGAAAGAATTGGGCCATTTGAGATCACTCTAGGATCAGGAGCAGAAGTTGCTTTCTCATTACCAAATAGTTTTTTATAATATTCATCAAGTTCTGATGTTATTCCATCCATATCAGCTATTCTAGAGCCATTTTTAGTATATATAGATAAGACTCTTTTTTGATGCCTCTTTGATTTCATTACTGAATGAAATAACTGAGAACCCTTATCTGCATGCAATGCCCATTTGATGTTAGCTTTTTGCCTATAAAAAAAACTTTTACAATCCATCAGATTGGTATATTTCTTGATGCAATCCTTCTCCTTTACTATTAGCTCTGAATTGAATAAGTCAAAATTCAACTTCTTTTGAACATCACATAGCTCAGATTTTTCTCTTAGCACTTGCTGACTGATATCCATAAAGTGCTTTTTATTCAAATCCTTGAGAACAGGTTTGAGGTTTCTGAGTTTAGTATAAAACCTGTACATGGTATATCCTCTAATTTCCTTGCTCCAAACTGTTTTCACCATTTCCAGAAAATCAGGATGCTTAGCCCACATATTAAAAAATTTGAAAGGCTTTTTACCTTCAAAGTTATCATCATCAATTGTAATTAGCCCTGGGGAATGATCAGAGCAAAGGGGCATCAGATATTCAGCTTGGCTTGCAGTGTGTTTATGGATCCAGTCATCATTGACCAATATCCTATTTAGTCTACACCAGAATCTTGTAGCTGAATCCTGTTTATTACTCCATGTATAGAAACAACTTGTTGTTTCTAAGCTAGCTAGAGGTAATAAAACTCTAAAAATTATCAGTTCCAGTATCATTTATTTGAGTTCCTCCTATCTTCTCATCACTATTTATAATTGCATTGAAGTCTCCACCCACCAGCCAAGGGCAATCTACATTTCCTTTGAATGATAATAAATCCTCCCATAGAGTTTTCCACCAGCCAACTGCATCCCTACCTTATCAGAGAATAATCCCTCTGTCTGCATAAGAGTAGTCTCAACATGCCCTTGATATACATATTCTTGATGCATTTGTGTATCATTACCAGAATCACATACTCTTGCACCATGCACCTGAGCTATTTGTTGTGCATGTTTTTCAGATGCACATCCAGATTGTCAACCTCTTAGATTTTACAACTCATATTTTACATTTTGTTCTAAAAAAAAAAATCCCGGTTAATCTTAGCTAATTAATGCAAACACTAATCCTAACCACTATATTTTCAACCTAATTAATCTCTTTCACATTACTTATATCAAATTTTACTATGCCTAATTAAGAGATTATATTTTTAAATTCTTTTTAGCTAAACTGTTTTAATTAAAATTCTACCTCATTTAATTATACCTAATTGGGAAAATGCTGCATAATGAAGAACTTGCCTTTTCAAATTCTTCATATACCGTTTCAATTGCAAAAATATGAATAACCAGAGCTGTCAAGGTTGAAACCACTTCAATGTTCTTAGTTCAAAGCAAGTGGAGGAAGTTTTAAATTTTAAATAGGAAACGGACAATCCCTTCAAATCTTTTGACTGTTCATTTTTTTGCTTTGTTTCTTACAATTGGTGCTCAACACTTATTTACTGGTCTTCAATTCCCAACTTTCTTCTTATCTCTTCGACAACCCTGTAAAAGTCCCGAGGTATTTTTTGGTTCTGGAATTTTTATTTTTAATTTCTAATTTTTTTTTTGGTTTTTGAATAATGTTATGGAATATTAGATTTAACATTGTTTTAGAATGTTCAAAATGAAATATATTTTTCTAAGTTAAATGCATGGTTGTTTTATTCTATTTTCATTTTATTTGGTAGGTTTTGGAGTTAGCTAGCAATGTGAAAATGAAAAGGATCTTTGTCTAGGCACGTTCAACTACCAATAATAAGAATTAATGAGAAAATGGAACTAATATAGGAGTTTTGCCTATAAGAAACAAGAAAAAAAAAGAGAAAATGGAACTAATTGAGGAGTTTTGCCTAGTGGTGCACTCGGTCTGGATACGGCTCGAATATGATGCTTACCATATCCATATCCGCTTACCCATCTCGGATATAGATACAGATATGTATATACCTCAGTAAGAAAAATTCATAACCATATCGGCTAAATCGGATACGGTTACAGATATACATGCGGATTTATGAGCGGATATGCACGTGGATACAAAACGGATATGAGAAAACTAGATAGTATGGAGAAAAACATAGTTCATGTGATACAAAAGAGTTCGTTAATATGTTCATTATAATTGAAAAGTTAAGATTAGACATCCTGATCATCAAAATTAATCACAAATACATAATCTAAGAATTGAAACTATCATAAGAGTATGACTAATATGTATTAGGATATTTCGGATACGAATACAGATATTTCACTACAAAACCATATCCGTAACCATATCCTATCGGTTATAGATTTGAGTAACCATATCTGTATCCTAACGGATATGATTTCGGATATTTCCTCGGGTACGGATACGGTTTAGCACCCCTAGCTCTAACATATAGAAAAAGAAAACGTCATCATTTTTTAATAGTCATCAGAAATGTCCTCACGCCTAGAAAAATCAATGGAAAGGCGCTAAAACAAATTTGAAAAAAATCAGGAAAAAAACCTAACAAACTATTTGTTTTCTTGATAATTCTATTGTTACATCCCTCCAGATTATGTATCACGCACACATCGTGTGTACCTCGTTAATATGTTCATTATAATTGAAAAGTTAAGATTAGACATCCTGATCATCAAAATTAATCACAAATACATAATCTAAGAATTGAAACTATCATAAGAGTATGACTAATATGTATTAGGATATTTCGGATACGAATACAGATATTTCACTACAAAACCATATCCGTAACCATATCCTATCGGTTATAGATTTGATTAACCATATTCGTATCCTAACGGATACGGTTACATATATTTTCTCGGATATGGATACAATTTAGCATCCCTAGTTTTGCTTATAAGAAACAAGGAAAGGAAAGTAGAATAGTCCAGATGCTCTTCATCTTTTGATGTGTCTATCTTTAGTCTTGTCAACAAGCACTGAGTCCACACGTTTTAAAATTCTGATGGTTTAGATACAAGAGTAAATATCTTAATTGAGATGCTATTTACTTTTATCATGTTGCTTTATTTGTTATCATTTATTAGCTCCTTAATTGATTCGTTTTCAATTTTCAACATGTAGTTGAATTTAGAATAGGCTAGGCTAAGACTTTTGGATCTATATTTGTCTTTTCCCCCTATCTTCCTAGAAGGGTTTAGTTTCATGAAGTTGGTGCATACCTATATCATTATTCCACTCTCATGAAGATGGAGTTTAACTGAATTTTTTTCTCCTTCTATCCCGAAATATTAACGAAGTTTAATAGATCAATTATGTTTCTTCTAACTATGAATTGAAAATTGATGCACTGTCCCATTAAAATAAAGGCTGTAATATTATCTTTCATAAAATATGTACTAAAAAAATATCCGTAGCATTGCGCGGGTCTAGCACTAATTGAGGATATTTGTTAACCCCTATTGTACTATTGACAAGGGGCTTAAATTTATTTTTACTGGAAAAATATCAACCCCTATTGACCTATTGAATGAACATGATGTGAATCGCATAGACTTGTTTGGTGAACATAGAAAGTAGAGGTTTGACACTATTGAACTTAATTGTATGGTAGGTGATTACTCAAAGTACAACGCAAGAAAATGATTGCGTTACCCAAGCTCATGTAGACGACACAAGTGCTGATCAAGCTCAAGCACAAGGCACAAATTTGATTGAGCTCATGAAGAAAAGAAATAATGCAGAGAATATGAAGAAGGGTAAACAGAAGTCTAAAGTCGAAGGAGAAGAGGAAGTAAAAGAGAAAGAGAAATAGAGAGAGGGTAAAGGCAAACAATTTGAGGAGGATGAGAATGATGACGGTGATAGAGTCAATTTTAGAGATTCAAATGAAGACTATCATGTATGCAATGAAGGGTTTGACAGTGTAGGTGAGAGTGAGGGATAGGGTTCAAATCATGAAGAATCAGATAGTTTTGAAGGTGGAGATGATATTGCTGAAAATCATGACATCAACATCCTAGGAGGAAAATAAAAAAGAGATTGTAATTCAGATTTTGAATGTAGTGATTGTTGTGCGTGGCGGAAGCCAAACAACCGATGTGCTTCGAGAAACCAAACCAATCGCCGAGAGAGAAGGCCACAAAAAATTCAAAATAACGACACGAACACAAACAACCAATTTTAACGTGGTTCGACAAGTTGCCTACTTCGACGGGGCAAGAAGGGGATGAGGTTTTCACTAATAGAGAAGAAGAGTACAAACTGAGATTACAAATCACTCGAACTCACCAATTAATCTCACCAACAAATCTCTAATTCTCTCCAAATAAAACCCTAACCAATAGCTCAGAAAATACATCTTTTCTATGCTCCAAATATCTCCTTCGCTGCCTAATTCTCTCTTCTAATCGTTCCATATATATGGAAATCCTAAAACCAAAAACATACTAAGAATTCTAAAACCAAAATCAAAACAGATTAGGAATCCTAATAACCTGTTATCAAAACAGATTAGGAATCCCAATAATCTCTTATCAAAACAGATTAGGAATCCCAATAACCTATTACCAAAACAGATTAGGAATCTGCTATCCAACAATTCTCCACCTCGATGAAGTTTCTTCCAAAACCGAGCTGATACTAACCAAAACAAATGTCTCACTTGTTGCGTCCAGTATGAAGTAGAACAAAACCATGACAACGGACTCAATGCACAACAAGTCGAGACCCAAATGAGAATGTGATCACTCTCCAAACGTCGGTATCAAATCACCAAATCGGTTGTATCATAAATAACTACCTACGTATCCTCTTACCCAAGGAATCAAGTCTTCACGTAGTTCACCAAATGGCCTCCAAAGACCCTCAATCTAATAGAAGAGTTTGCAATCCTTCTCCAATATCATCACCAAATCTGCGGCTGATAGCTCTCCTAATGGTCCTAAAGTGAAACAATCCAAACACCTCCACCTGAGGTGAACCAATGACTATAACCAAATGTGAACTATGTCCACTAGCTACACTCGAATCTAAAACTAACTCATCATCTGCATCCAAATCCAAATGATCCCCAAACTGTGTCACTTTAATTGGAATCCCAAATGATGTAGTATGATCTGGAGTATGTGAAATAATCTCTACCCAATATGGAGTAGCATCACCCTCCACCCGCTGCGATATCCTAATAATCTAATCAACACTCTCTACCTACCAAGAGTCAAATGTGACATACCTGCTCAGAACAAAATCAGAGTCTCCCAACTGATAATCAAACGAGTCTCTGAATCTCAAATGTGTTATCGGATCAAATCTCACATCCTCGATATGACCAAATGCTGGACAACCAAATATCCGACGTAACCCAAAATCTGAAGCAGTTCCACCAGATCCAAAATCTCCAAACATAGCAGTCGGCATCCTATGACTAAGATGACCAAAACATGTTGAAGCTCGAACACCAAAACCAATGCTCGACATCAAACGTCGATCCTCCTCCAGTAAGGAACGACCCATCAAAACTGTCATATCATCTTATCGCCTCAATATTTCCTCTCCAATGAAGTGTCTCAAACTTCTGTGAGCTCGACACAAACGCAAGAAAGGATCCCTACCAAAATCAGAATGATGGGTTACCTTTCTGCCAATACACTTCCTCCACCTGTTGTTGACTTCTAAGACTTTAAACCCTTGGGACTTGGTTATAACCTACCAATGCCTAGAACAGTCCCCAACTATGGAAACCAAATACCTATTATCTCCTAACGATGCCTCCTTGGAAGGCCCTTAAATGCCTAAATGAACACTACCTAAAAGACCCCTCGATCGATGGATAGAAGTGCTAAACTCTACCTCGATCTTCTTGCTCATACCAATGTGCTCAAAGGACTTCAATCTGCAGGTCAAAGCACTCCTCAACAAACTATGCACGACATAACCAATCAAATATCCC